AGGGAGGGAGGGGAGGTAGGGGAGCGGAGGAAGGTGGGCCGGCAACCTTCCTTTTTAGTCTGGCGGGGTGCCCCCTCCTACCATGCAGCCCTGCTGTGGCGAACGGCGTGCGCGAGCAGGCATCAGTTGCACGGTTCCCTCCGCCTCCTCTTCCTCCTCCTCCTCCTCCTCCTCCTCCCTCCCTCCCTCCCTCCCTCCCTCCCTCCCTCCCTCCCTCCCTGCTTCCTCCTCCCTCCTCCCTGGATCTCGAAAACGCTAGACGACACAGCCAGCAATCAAGGACAGTGGCATGAATGCAAATTGCTCACGAACATGTATACAATCTACAATCCTCTGCCCCTTGCTGCAGGCTCGCTTGGCGTATAAAAAGTGCGACTCCCCGTGAATGTGTATCATGTCGCATGGTCCCATTAGCTTGATATGTATATATATATGTTATATGTATATATAATATATATATATATATAATATATATATAATATATATATATGTAAGTTGGGCTTGGGCGTATGGATTGCAATGTGGTTTTGCTTGAGATCCATTTTTTGATTTTCGTTGATGAGATCCGTTTTTTGTTTTTTGGTCAATAGATCCATTTTCTTTCAATGGATCCGTTTTCACTCAATGGATCCATTTTCTTTGAATGGATCCATTTTTTGGATCTCTTCAAGACCCTCTGACTATGGATCCAAATTTTGGATCTCTGGGACCTCTGGGTGTCGCGAGAACCGAACCGGACGTCCCAACCCAGCCCGCGCAAGACCGCAGGACGACGACCCCCCGGGCCCCAACCACCCCAGAGCCCCCAAGACCCTGAGGACCCAGGGCCTCGTCGTTGGGCCCACGACGGCCCCAAGGTGGCCCACGAGGGCGCCCGGGCCCCCCCCCGGTCCGGACCCCCTGGAGCGGCGGCGGCGGCGGAGGAGGCGGAGGAGGAGGAGGAGGAGGAGGAGGAGGAGGAGGAGGAGCCCCAGGGCCCCCAGGACCCCCATGATCCAGGACCTCGCCGTTGGACCCCCCTCGTCGTCGTCGGCGGCGGCGGCGACCCTCTCGAGAGAGGGAGGCGGCGGCAACCATCTCGAGGCGGATCCGGCCGTGACCACGGGGGGGCCCAGGAAAACCACGAAGCGCCACCATAAGCCTCGCTCCTGGCGCCTCCTCCTCCTCCTCCTCCTGCTCCTCCTCCTCCTGCTCCTCCTCCTCCTCCTGTTGTTTTCAAACTGGGTCGTCGCTTACGCAGACGGGGCGCACAACGTCGCACCCGACAAACCGAACCGAACCCAACAGGACCGGCCAATCGAACCGAACCGAACCGGTCGGACCGAAGCGCGCGAAAACTAGACCCGAACCGAACCGGCGGCAGACCTACGCCGAACCGGCCGAAACCGAACCGAAGTCAAACCGAACCAAGCAAAACCGAACTGGCTGCAGAACCGGACCGAACCGAATCGAGCCGATCCTTTCGTGATTTTGGCGTTCTCGCCTTTTCAGCTTCCCGACGCTCCCGGACGGCCCTAGAGGCCCTCAAGACCTCCCCAAAATGGTCCAAGAGGCCTGCAAGAGGGCCCCCAAACGGCCCGACAGGTTCTCAAGACGGCTCCAAAGGGGCCCAAGAGCGGGAATATGAACTGAAAATCCGAGCCTTCCGCCCCATGCCCCCAGGAGGCCCCAAGAGGCGCCCAGGAGGCCTCAAGAGGCTCCCAATGGGTCCCAAGAGGCCTCCAAGACGCTCAAAAGAGGCCCCAAGGGGCCCCCAAACAGCCCCTAAGAGGCCTCCAAACTGCCTCCAAGAAACCCCCGAGAACCCTCCCACGAGATCCCAACGAAGATCCAACAGGCTTCATACCCACAACCCAGGCACGGTGGCGGGAGGTGCCGAAGGCCATTAGATGGCCGATGGCCATTAGATGCATACAAATTCTCGCCGGAGGCGCCGCCGGGGGGCCCGGGCGCGGATCCAAGAAAACCGCGCGGAGCGCCAAAAGTTTCTGTTTATTTGGCTGTTTCTTCTTCGAGAGCAGAGCAACGAATCTGCCGTCGGGCACCTGCCGAGCACCGCTGGGGGCGAGGCAGGGCGGCAGAGACAGAGAGAGAGAGAGAGAGAGAGAGAGAGAGCGAGAGACGGCCGGCGAGTGCTCGGGCCATGCTGCGCCCAGGGCCGTCGAGGCGCCTGTGCCGGGCTGACGCCCGCGGTGCAACCCGCGGCGCAAGGCTTAGGTCGGGCCTGTCCTGCTGCAGACGGATTTGGGAAGAAAAATGAAACATAAGCGAAAATACTCAATAATAGTCCAAATCCCCATACATATTATCAGTCTTAGTATTATGACTATTCTTATTACTTTGTTTTATTCGTTCTTTGGAGAAGAATATATTTGTGTATATTCCTCCTGTAGAGGGACATGCCCGGCGCTAGGCCGAAACAATTAAAAATACACAAAACATACTCCCCAAATGCTCAAAAATAATCAGAAAATAGTCCCCAGACTATTTTTTGACAATT